TACATAAATCATGTTTTAATTAATCGTTTTTAAATTAATTTTTATTAAAATCAATCCTATACAATTTCAAACCTTAATTATTTCATTTTCTCTCCCACCTCTTTCCCTACCGATCACTCATTTTCTCCCTCATCTCTCTCTCTCTCTCTCTCTCTCTCTATCCCTACCCATTTTCTCCCCCCCTCTATCTCTCTATCCCCGCCGACACCACCACCGCCTCTCTTCTCCCTCAAATCGTCGGACCACCACAACGATGTCGCAACTGCAGCGATGGACATTTTATCTATGGGCTGCGATGGAAAAGTTGTTGGTGCTCTAGATCAGGCCAAAGAAGATGGACAAGTGGCTGGTGTTGGAGATCAGCGATGGACATTTTTTTTAGTGGTTCAGTGGAGTTGTGCGGTGTTGATGTGGGTGTGGTTACGGGCGATGGTTGGGTGTGTGCGCGTGCGGTGGTGGTGGTGGTAGTGACGGTTTGGGCCGTGTTTTCAGTTGTGGATGGGGGCTGTGGTAGTGGCAGTGTTTGGGTAGCGACGATTATGTTTGGTAGTGGTGTTGTCAGTTTGGGCTGTTTTTTCAGTTGTGGATGGAGGCTGTGGTTGCGGTGGTGCTTGAGTAGCGACGATTATGTTAGATCTGGTGATAGATCGGGCGGCAGCGACGCAATGAAGGTGGTGGTGGGACGGTGGTGGTGAAAACGTTGGCTACGATGTTTGAAACGGTGATTTTGCTGGGAAGTAGTGGCGATGGTGGTGTTGGCGGCGGTGGTTGTGTGTTTCTGTGGTGTTGGGGTTAGCGGCGATGGTGCGTTTCTGTGGTGTTGGCAGCGGAGACGACGATGGTGTTGTGTTGATGGTGGTCACAAATGATTTGTTGATTGTGAACAATAAATTGGTTGGCGTGTACCAATAAATAATAAATTGTGATCAATAAATATTGTGTGACCTACAAATTTATTAATTTGTGACCAATAAAAGTAAACTGACCTATAATTTGATATTTTGTGATCATAAAATAAGTTGTGTGACTTATAAATTATGTGATTTGTGACCGATGAATAATTTGTGACTGATGAACGAACTGTGACCTATAAAATTTTTGAATCGTGACCTTAAAATTTTTTATTTGTGACCGGATTGCATAAATCCGTGACCTTTATATATTTATTAATAAAACATATAATTAATTAATTAATTCATAAATAAATTTAAATAAAAACCTGATTTTTGAAATTTAAAACATCTAACTTTAATTTTGAAAT